CCCATGTCCCCTGCATCGGCAGGTGGACTCTCAACCACTGCGCCACCAGGGAAGCCCTCAAAAAAGTTTTTAATGAAAAAATATTTGCATCGCTAAATTTACAAATCTAAGATTTCATGCAAAGAGTCTTTATCTCTGATTTCTCCTGAAAAAACTAGAAGATGGGCTTGCATTCCCACACGGTGACAGTGGACTAGAGCTGGGCAGTTGTCCCCTTCAGATGAGGTACAGATTGGGGAAAAAATTCCCAATAACTAAGCCAATCCTGATTTGATTAAAAATCATTAATGATAATAGTGATAACTGCTTACTATGTGGTGGGCACTGCTTTACAAGCATTATACCATTTAATCCTCATGCCAATTCTTTTTATTTATCCTCGTTTTATAGATAAGAAAACTGAAGGCAATAGAGTGTATAGACTTGCCAGAGGCCACAGGGCTAAGTGGTATATGACTGTCTCCAGAGCAGCAATGTCCAATAAGAACTTTCTGTGATAGTGGAAATGTTCTGTATCTGCGTTATCCCATGTGGTAGCCACTAGCCACAGGTGGCTACTAACCCCTGAAATGTGAAGATTTGTAACTGAGGAATTTTAAATTTTATTCAAGTTTAACCAGTTTAAATTTAGCAGCCACACGTAGCTGGTAGACCTTGTATTGGGGAGTTCAGCTCCTGAACCTGAGCTCTTAACCATTTGCTTATAGAACAACTACATTCTAAGCAGAGTTTGAGATTCAGAATACTAAAAATCTAAGGATGGCAGATTGACCATTCAAAAGCAAACACAGAACAGCACAACTTAAGTATGAGGCTAAAATCCACAAACTTAGGAACAATATCAATCATGTTCTCAATCCCTTCCTTAATTAAGCAAAGTGCTTATAGCTCAGGCATTTTAGCATCTTCTGTGGAAGAGGGCGGGGAAGGGGCAGAAGTGGAAGGAAAAGGCTTATTTGGTATGACTTCCTTCAGGAGCAAACAGCACTGTGTGCACAACGGAGAGAATACTCCATATGATGTTCTGGGCAGGCCTAGTCGTATAGAAACTGTTTCCAGCTAACCCTGACCTCTGCTGGCTTGTGACGTCACTATCTAATGCAGTTCAGTAAGAACCTGGCTCTGCCGCCTGTCCTTGATGGTTATCTAACACAGTTACAAAGGATGTCCTTTGCACTCTGAAGGCAAACTGTTCTAGTCCTGAGATCTGAATCTCCTTGCACAGCACTAAATCAAGGATTAAAAGAAAATAGTACAATTAAGACTAGTGGCCCTTTGTAAAATTGACTCCATACCAACTGTCATTTCCAGAAGAGAGAAACTTTAGGAAAAGCTTCAAAAGCTTAGGAGCAAATAAAACAGGCAGGCCTCCAAGGATGTTAGTGAAAACACCAGTAAGTCTGATAGCTTGGAGGGACTGGGGTAGGGAAGAAATCTATTTCCTATTAGCAGCACAGAAAGTAACAGAGAAGGTAACCGAGGTTCATAATTACAAAGGTCTGGTTTTGGATCTGCTGGCAAATCCAGCACCAGAATGAGAGGTAGCAGGTTAACAGACAGCATTTGTTCAGGAAAATAATAGCAGGCGCACGTGCTGCCATTAGAAAAGTTCAAGAAACCTGCTGTTGGCAAATTACAAAAAAAAAGTCTTTACAAGTTTTTGGATGGCAACAGCGAGGTGGAATAGTGAATGACGAGACATCTGGATAGAAGGGTATTCTACAGATCCACATATGTAAACCCAAATGAGAAGCAAAGAATGATGCTCAGGGGAGGAAAGAAAAAGACTCAGATTAGCATGTTGAAGGTCTTTGAGGGCCATTATTTCTGGACGTCCCCTTGGAAATCAGTAATATTCTGTTATTGCTGACCCCATGTGACCCATGAAAACTGAGTTCTGTGGAGGAGATGGCCACATTGACCTGTCATTCTGTGTGAAGTGAAATTAGCCCACCGTTAAGGCCTGCTAATATTCTGGTCAATAGTCTGGCTTAAGTCTGTGCAAAGCTTTTTAAAGTAATGTGAAATAATTTAGGGCAGAATTTGATTTCCATTTAGGAATGGAAACAAATTTAAAGGTAATTTTTTTTTTGGCCACATCTCGTGGCTTGTGGGATCTTAGTTCCCCTACCAGGGATTGAACCTGTGTCCTCGGCAGTGAAAGCTCAAGCCCTAACCACTGGACTGCCAGGGAATTCCCTAAAGGTAATTTTAAAAAGAGAAAATTTTCAATAACACAGAAAGGTAGTGTTAAAGCTAAATTGTATTTTCTTTTACGAACCAAAGCAGGTTGTAAGACAATCTCTTAGGTGATAATGAATGTTCAGACATTAAGAATCCATTTCATTCACTATTCTTCTCATTTCAGCACAACAAAGAAAACTGAGGAGGCAAAAGATGACTCTTTCACAAGCAGTGATGACGATGAAGATGCAGTTTTAGATAAAAGACTTAAGTACTATAAATATCCACGGTCCACTGGGCATTACCCTGCCAGGAGACCGATGTCTATCTCCAGAGAATGGCATGGATATAAAAAGAAGAACTGTACTTTTAGTGTAGGAAAAGACAGTAACTGTGACGTGATGATTCACAGAGACCACAAGAAAGAAGTGAGTGCCCCTTCTCCATACTGGACAATGGTGAAGCAAGACGACGAAAGCTCCTCCTCCTCCTCGGCCTCCTCTACCTCAGATGCATTTTGGCTCGAAGACTATGCCCATGCTGAAAAGGGCAAGAGTGAACCTGTATCAAAAGTTGGTTAGGAGGCGACTTCCCTGGCCCCTTTCTCTCGGACCAATGAACCTCGCCCAGGAGCGTTCCCAAATAAAGCTTGCTTAAGTTCAAAAAAAAAAAAAAAAAGTTGGTTAGGCAGCAGTTTGCAAATCTGTGACCACAGGAGCATTTGTCTTGAAAACACCCATTTTTTGTGCACTGCCATGTATACGTTTGCTATACTTACAGGAATATGTACAGACTTAACATTTCTCTTTCACGAGTGTGTTGTAAAGCCTTTAGAGACCTTCTTCAGTGTGATATCCAAAGATTTCCTTGGGGTTTCACAGGCCTCACAATTATTCAGATCCTTAGGACCCTCCTTTCTGAGAAGAATGTCTCATCATTTAGAAAATGCAGCAGAGGAACCCAATATCAGAATGTGTAAACACAGTAGAGAATTCTACTCTTCAAGTATCACATTTTACTTTAGTTTCTCGTTTGTAAACTTCAAGTGCCCTACTTAAAAAGAAATGAGATTTTTGCCTAGTTGTTCACACTAGTTTTTTTCCCCATTTTCAGCCCCACTTTTACCTTTTTTAAAAAAATATTTATTTATTTGGCTGCACCAGGTCTTAGTTGTGGCATGTGGGATCTTTCATTGTGGCGTGCAGGCTCAGTAGTTGCGGCACAAGGGCTCTCTAGTTGTGGCACATGGGCCCTAGAGCGCTCGGGCTTAGTTGCCGCACAGCATGTGGGATCTTAGTTCCCCGACCAGGGATCCAACCCGTGTCCCCTGCACTGGAAGGTGGATTCTTAACCACTGGACCACCAGGGAAGTCCCCCTACTGTTACTTTGAATGTTGGGTTGATAGTTAATTACTTGAAAGAGATAGGATAGAAACAGATGAGGGAGAAGGCAAGAAAAAAACCCCATAAAATTCTGCCACAGTGAAGATAAACATAAAATGAAGCAGTGCGAATACAGGATATGACTGGCAGGGAATTTATATTTTTCACAAATAACTCTTTCGCAAAAAAGGCAAAAAAGGGGGTAAAAACCCAGACCATTTAATTATTCTTACCCAAGAAGACAGACTTTTAACTGTGTTTATCTTAAAAAGCCACCAATAATAATCTGGAGATAGTTACTCTGATAGCCACTTAGCCTTAATTTTTAATAGTTTCTCATGCTTCTGTACTTTATTATTATATTCCTGTTCTCCTTTAAAGCATCTAAAACAAAAACTCAGCGTGTATCAAATACTTGTTGATTAACTGATTAGGAAAAACGCAAGAAAAACATTTAAACAGAAGTTTTATTGACTTTAGGTCAGTTGGGAACAATTACCTGCATTTATGCTTTATGATATTTCATCTCATTGGAAAAAAGATAAATGTTACATTAGAGACTTTTCACTTTCACATACTTGCTGCTCTTAGTTGAGAAAATGTTCAGCTCTTTCCTGCAATATGTGTTTCAGTACTACAACTCATCAACGAAAGGTGTATGCCCCAAATTTCCACTTGCTGCCATTGACTTCCGGCCAGAAACAAACTTCTTTGCAGCCTTTAAGTAAACAAACAAAATAAGACAGAAAGTTAATAGAAATAAGCAAGTAGATAAACTTCTGTTCCTTTGAGTACTTCATCCTACGTGTGACTGAGCAAGTGTGGTGCTCTAAATATGAGCGTAGCTGTTAAAGAGGGAAAAGGAAAACCCTTCTGACGTTGCAAAACAGGGCAGAGTCTCCTTGAGCAGAGCTGTACTTCCCTGCTTTGGTACTGCAATGGCAAATAGTCTGAGTCAATAAAAATAAACTGATTGTTAACTTAAAAGTTACACTTTATATCCTAGTATTCCTTATGCCGCTACTTTGAGTCCAAAGGCTGGTTGTTTAGGTTAAGTGCAATACCACGAGGAGCAGTCCCACATTATCTCAGGTCAGCTTTTTAAATAAAGAGACAGTGTTGCAGGCAGCTGGGTTGGACTCACATGATAGTATGGTATATAAGATGAGCACAGCCATTTGGAAGAGTATGTAATGATGAACTTATGGTTCAAGTGAAATCAAGTCAGGGCTGCTATCTTAAAATAGCCTGCTTCTTTTTTCTATCCCCAAGGGGAGACCCCTTGGTGAGAAGATGGTTAAGACCTCGACCATGGAAGGGGAGTTGGCATTTTTAATACAGAAAGGACTGATTTTGTGTTCATTCTGTAGTTCATGTACTTGTTAGGCATAGCAGGGAATACAAAGAGGTATAAGACATAGTCCTTGCCCTCAAAACAACTCAATTTTATAGGAAACAATATATGTGAAAAAAAAAAATAGAGCAGGGGCAGGAGAAGGTCTTATGTTGAGAAGACTAAAGAAAATCTTGAGATGGTAGATTGCGAAAGATTGGCAGGATAGAGTTTATTTCTTAGGAGTGAGGAGGAAAATACCAAACTTGACAATTAGGTTGAATCGTATGAAACTGCCAATATTTGACCCTTCTTGACCTTTAAGAACTTAAAATGGTTTAACCTAATGGCAATTTAGTTGCATGAGGAAGATACATCACCCTGAGTTGACAAGGAAGCTATCTGCAGATATGGGGATGAGCCCTTCTGCCTCCACACCAGGTACATAGGCACCAAACACCACGAGAACAGCATATACAGCCCAAGGAAGGTTACGCATTCCTTCTGAAACTGGATCATTAAGGACAAGTTATTTGATGTTAAATAAATTTTCATTTGCTTACATTTATGACATCAGCATCAGCTACCGAGTCAATCTGCTGAAGGACTGTGGATGGCGGCACATATGAACCAGCAACTAGAGCCTGGGACCCAACTTCATCCAGGAAGCCCTCAGAAGACTCCACTGACATTAGGTACCCAGCTTTCAGCTTGTTCCTGTCCAATAAAAGGTGTGTAACTAAGGCAGACGCCAGTTTTACAGAGCAAGGCAAAGTATGTTCCCACACCCTTAAACATGTTTGGGTAAATACACAAACTAACTAACAGCTTTGAAATCTTACAGTGCTAAAGGTCTCCATTCTATTTCTTCAATTCACCAACTATTTTAGATACATTTTTGGTGATGGTTTTAGGTATCTCTATTAAAGAACATCCCTATGTGGGCTCTTCTCACTGTCCCTTTAGCAGAATGCTGTGTGCTGATAATATAACTTCCCTTAACCCCATCCCTAGCCCATTTGTGTGCTGGGATTTGTCTCACTGAGGGTAGGGCAAGTGGGGAAGGACAGTATAGGTCTTATAAGTCCCTGTAGCTTAAATATGGGCACAAAAACATCAATTTGAAATAAAACAAAATCCAATTCATACTTATCCCAGAAAGAAATTATGTTCAATAAGGCACTTGAGTTATTTAACTCAAACTAATCTCCTTGGCACTCTGTAGCAAGACTTCCATTTAAACATAATTACAATTTAATGTAGCAATTTTACCACACTGTCCACTTAATTGAAAAAAGATTTTACCTGCAATAAACTTTACCAAGTGATTATTAGTTTGTCCCTTCAGCAATGACACCTCACCTTCTCTTTTTCACTATAGGAGGACTAAGAACCTTACAAAAAAAGTATCAACTCCATCAAAATGGCAGAAAATAAATATATCTTGACATTAACAACCAAAATTCCATTTTCTAAATGTTGCTGTACCTGATAAGAACTGTGCCACACTTATTAAGAAAATACATTTTCTTAAATAAATTAGATTTGAAACAGATTTCTCCTAAGCTTATCCATTGTTTCAATTTATTATAAGGTTTGTTTCTGATGCAATCATGCAGAGCTGCATCCTATCGATCCTTGGTTCCATGTATACAATATTTAATAAATTGTGTTGTACTTATTTGAGAGATGCACTTCTTAGTGTGTTCAGTATAACAAAAGTAATAATACTAATGAGAACAGAAATGGTAAAAGACTGTTCCCTCCTGGGTTGTAATTCACCCTGTCATATTTCCTTTGTGGGCAATACTAAATGATCACAGAGGCCTCCGGAGTTTTAGGATTCACATTCTGAATTGTCCTAAATGGATGGAGTCAAATTTAAATGTTTTAAACTCCTGTATGAAAATGCAAGCTGATTTCCAACTCTGTCCAAAGTCTGTCTCTTTTAGAGAAACTCCCAGAGCTACTGAGTTAAGAGGAGTTGTTAGCACTTTCAGTGTGGGAATTTAAAAATCACCAAATAGGAGACAGATATTACAATCTTTTAATCGGATATATTTTTTGGTCTATCAAATCAGTAAAGAGGAAAAAGTTGCCAATGGTTATGGTAGAACAGGCACTCTCATATATACTGACAATGTGCTTATCAACTGGTAAAACCTTTCAACATTGTGACTCCAAAATATAAAAATAAAAATATTACATAAACACAAACGTATATTTTAATGCACAGCCTTTCATTATAATGTTTATAACTCTTGGCCCAGTTGCGAATCTATACCAAGAAAGTAATATGAAATACAAAAATGTTTTAAAACCCAAAGATATCCTTTATAGTTTATAATTTCAAACTGCCTTGTGGAAAATGTCCAATAAGTATATTTTGACACACCAATTAAAACTGTTTATGACAAATTTTTAGTAATAAAAATAAATGGAATAAATGCAAACAGCATTATAATGTTAAAAAAAGAGAAGAATCATTGGTAGGGAATGAAAAATAATTTTTGTCTTTGTAATTTTCAATTTCTACAATAAACACTAATAAGTATTATTTATTAACAAGTATATATACAATATTAACAATTATATTTAAAAATGGTCAAGAAAATAATCAAAATGTTAACAATTATATCTCTAGGGGGTAGGAGTATATTTCCCTTTCCTTTTAAATACTTTTCTGTGCCTTTCAATCCTTTTTGTGTATTTATTACAATAGTGTTGTAACTAGAAAAAATACAACTTTCAAATAATTGAAACATGAAACATTAATATTGAAACTTACTTGGCAACTTGGACATCTGTATTAGAAAGGTTTCCTTGAGCAACTGTTTTTACTTGGTTATAGGCAGCCTTGATAACCTAGGATAGACAAGTAAAAGCTGGTCATCTTTGATCAGTGCCAAAGTCTGCCACAGGGGCTTCTCTGGTGGTGCAGTGGTTGAGAGTCTGCCTGCCGATGCAGGGGACACGGGTTCGTGCCTCGGTCTGGGAGGATCCCACATGCCGCGGAGCGGCTGGGCCCGTGAGCCGTGGCCGCTGAGCCTGCGCGTCCGGAGCCTGTGCTCCGCAGCGGGAGGGGCCACAACAGTGAGAGGCCTGCGTACCGCAAAAAAACAAAACAAAACAAACAAACAAAAAACAAAGTCTGCTGCAACATTCAAATGCTCCTCTACTGAGGCAAAAACAAAAGATGGAAGGTTAGTTCCAGAGAAACAGTATAGTGTCCATTTGGAATTCTTAAGTCACTACGTGCTGCTTACTCTTCCAAGGTTCCATAAAGCAGCTGTTTGTACAATATCCAAGTGGCCAAGTTTCTTAACAAACGTTAAGTGGCAGAGGGCAGAGGGTGGCAGTTGGGTTTAGGAAAAGAAATCTCAGGGATTTATCATTGCCTACAAAGAATAAGCACCTCAAAATTTTCCCAAGACTCTCAAAGTATCATGTAATTAATACTGCTATCTCTTACTATTCACTAAGAAAAAAGTAGTAATCCATACACAGCCAAATCTGTAAAGCCTGTCCATACCTGGAGTGCTAGAGTCATGAAGGAATCAAGTTCTAGTGATATGGGTGGGTACTTGGTAAATATATGTTGAATAAATAAATTAATAATAAACCTGGCCCATGATTTTCTCCCTCCCAACCCTGGCACCATTCTGGGTCTGCTACTTACTGTTCTTTCTAATCACCTAAACTCTAGGACCTTCATTTCCCCTCCAGGTGAGCTACCCATTTCCATAGCCATACCCCAGACCTGCACATAACCTAGATCTGACCTACCTCTGAAATCCTCAATTCCAAGACCTCCGGCCTAAGTCTTTAATCACGCTATCCTTATCTTCCATTTTATCAACATCTCTAGGTCCGTGATTTGTCCACTTTCAATCTATCAGGTCCCCCTGGCTTCACTTCTTTAGCCTAAATCCATGAATCATCTCTTCAATCACTCTTGCCAGTGTTTCCAACTTCCTGCCATCTGTTCATACTTCTGACCTGCCTACTTTGCAGGATTCCAGCCTGGGATCAACCCTACTGCCTGCCTCCTCCATTTCTGCATTAGGCTAGACGTCTGGCTGTACTATGAATTTGTGGTCACTTATCTCAAGGAGACATCTGTACTGCTGTTATGCTCATTCTGTGTGCATCTAGCCACTCATCTGTCCCAAACCTCATTACTTTCTTTAAACTCTCCTCCCTTCTCTTATTCTCAAAACATGACTTAGCCTCCTACCTTACCAGGGATGTACTGCCTCATCTTCCCGACATCCTCTTCTCCCATCAGCCTTTGAGTCCAAGGCTAAAATGTCCGATTGTACTTTGGATCCTGCTTACTGTTGCTTTTTCAGACTTCATCCATCTATAATTTATCTCCTATATTCGCTCCAATTTTCTTTCCTTTCAGTGTGAATGTCTCTTCCTACTTAATCTCTCAGTGGAAACTCTCCTAAAACTACCACCCACCTCCTTACAAGTCTATGCTCCACCTGCCTGCACCAACATTGTATTTCTTTCTTCCCATTCATTCCTTAATATTGTAAATTTTAGTTCACTTCCAATACTCTGATAAAAACTGATAGTATCACCAATATTATCCTAGTTTGCTAAAACTACCAGACCTCTCTGTGGTAACTAAACGGATGTTAATCCAGAGTATATCGAAACAGTGTTAACCATTCTCTCTTTCCTGGCCTCCAAACGTGCCAGTTTCTCTTCTTTTTCTTTCTGTTTCTTTTTGGCCATTTTCCTTAGCTTGACCTTCAGTTTTCTTCTCCTCCAACCTTTCACATGTAACCCTGACTTCAACACACTCTTTATAATGATGACTCCCAGTATACATCTTGGCCTTGACCTCAACTGAGTTCTTCATTTAGATATCCCAGAGACAACTCAATGCCACATGCCCACACAGAACGAAAATACCAAGGAAACATTTCCTCCCTCTTTTCTGGAAGCATCAGTATATGCGTTTTTCATTTCTAACTTTCCTCCACAGCAGATAACACTTTAATGATATTACACTATACAGAACTCTGATAAATCATGGCATTCAAACATTCCATGTTCTTACTAAAAATATGTTAATGGGGGAAAAAATCTTGTGAGAATTGATGAGTTTGCAACTTACATCTCCAGCAGCTGCAGCCTGTGAGATAGTGTAAATCCCAAAGAGTCCAGAATCTGAGTAACTGGCATTAAAAGCGGAAACCTGAAAATATAATGAAACTTTACTGTATGTCATTCTACCAGGTAAAACAGGGCGCAATTTCCCTAAGGCTGTCTAGACAAAAACATATACCTTCACAGTATAAGCAAAGACATGGATTAATATTTCACTTAAATGGTTCTATTAAGGACTGAAGTGTTCTATATACAGGTTACCTCTTTCACAACTGTAATGTTCTAGCTTTTCTCATTTAACTCTTTCTAAAATGACGGCTCACTTTCCTTGGTATTTTCTAACCTTTTGATGATTAAAAGTTAATGCAAACATTAACTTGTGAACATTACTATTGTAGATTCAGTACAGCTGAGTTGGTATAAATCATGGGCTTTGGCATTAGATAAACCTGCTTTCTTCCCTCTGCTGTTGGTGGTGACTTCCTTTTCACCAATTCGCTTTCACTTCTCCTATAGACTAAAATTAAAGGGTTAGGAAAAAAATTTCTGCTTAGTATCTATTATTCAGATGTCCAAGGGAGCAAGAAGTTTAGCCTCTGGAAAACGGGTATTTCTGTCTGTAGTCTGAGTAGAGTGTTAAGTTCCTTAAGGTGGACATGACACCCTAGTAAAGTGCTTTTCAGTGTTTATGTGGACCGTTTACATAAGGATCACTTGAGTTGTTACTAAAAATGTAGACTTTCAGGTTCCTACAACAGATCTACTCACTCAGATCACTAAAGATGCAGTCTGGGATTCCGAATTTTAAACTAGTGTTCCAGATGAAGTTTGAAAACCATTTGTTTGGCCCATACGAAGCATACAAAGATATGCACTTCAATCACCTGAAGTTTAATTACAATTCTGAGACTAACTAGTCATCCTCCAAATTTCTGGCCAAATTCTAAAGTAGGAATTTATATTAATTTTTTTTTGGTGGATTTATCTTTTTAATTTATTTATTTATTTATTTATGGCTGCAATGGGTCTTCATTGCTGCACGCGGGTTTCCTCTAGTTGCGGAGAGCAGGGGCTGCTCTTCGTTGCGGTGCCTGGGCTTCTAATTGCGGTGGCTTCTCTTGTTGTGGAGCATGGGCTCTAGGTGCACGGCCTTCAGTAGCTGTGGTATGCCAGCTCAGTAGTTGTGGTGCATGGGCCTAGTTGCTCCGCAGCATGTGGGATCTTCCCGGACCAGGGCTTGAACCCATGTCCCCTGCATTGGCAGGCGGATTGTTAACCACCGCGCCACCAGGGAATTCCCAGGAATTTCTATTATATTATGTCACTGGATTAGATTAAACTCCAACTACCCAAAGCATCATTAACATTCAATGGTGAAGAGTAAAGCATGAAGAAAAGAAAACAGAGCAGACCATGAACGAGGAGAAAGAAAATCTGGAGGATATCTAATTAAGGACTAGGACTAATTTAAGATAATGGTTTTGGGGAGTTCCCTGGTGGTCCAGTGGGTAAGACTCTGAGCTGCAGGGAGCCTGGGTTCGATCCCTGGTCGGGGAACTAGATCCCATGTGCATGCCGCAACTAAGAAGCCCACATGCTGCAACTAAGAAGCCCGCATGCTGCAACTAAAAGATCCCGCATGCTGCAACTAAACATGCTGCAATGAAGATCCCACGTGCCACAACTAAGACCCAGTGCAGCCAAAATAAATAAACTTAAAAAAAAAAAATAAGATAGTGGTTTTCAAACTGTGCTCCAGGGAACTCTAAGGTTCTGTACAGAAGATTCCAAGGGTTTCACTGTCAAGTAAGCCTTCTAAACTTCTTTAAAAGCAAGAACTTTTGTGTTGGGCATTGCAGTTGGGGAATGGCACTGATGAAAAAGGCTCCTCTGCTAAAAAAAAAAAAGTCTGACACTACCACTAAAGTATTAAACAGAGGAATAAAAAGAGAAGATGACTGATTTTAATTTTCACCATTAAGTGTCAAATGGCCGAAGACTCAGAGGCATAAACCTACCTGTGCCATGTACTATTGCTGAAATTATGAACGATACTTAATCCTACAATTTAGTACATTTGTTACTTTATAAAGATATAATTGAAGGTCACATGGGGCATTACATTGGGCAAACTACCGTCACTCATTAAATATTTTGCCAGTTGACATTTTACATTCTTGATTTGAGTATCGTTATTTTGAAAGCTTTAGCACTTTCCTCACTGTCATAAAAAGGTGTCTTCTAAGGCAACATAACTTTTGGTTATGGTTAAATGTCATTTTTCTCTTTTAACTTAATCTCAAGCTGGAGGAGCAGGTCTGTAAGTAATTTCTTGCTGTATATCTTGTACACTTGGTTGGAAAACATGAAGGGCAGCGAAATTCAGGAAGTAGCCACAAGAATAGAAGGGGACAGAAGAAATCAGAAAAAACGACTAATTAGAATCTAGGGGAATGTTTAATATCTAAAACTTTATTCTAAAGGGAACTGAAGTGTGAATTTCTGACTTTTTAAGCATTCAATTCTTCCTTTTATATTAGAATAACAGCAAGTTTTTGATAGACCCACTAAGGTACTAAAATTAAGCCTGGCTGTCTCTTCAATTTTACAAAGATTTTCTTTGTGTTCATCTTAATTTTTTTTTTTTTTTTGGCCACACCGCGTGGCATGTGGGATCTTAGTTCCCTGGCCAGGGATAGAACCCGTGCCACCTGCAGTGGAAGCGCGCTGAGTCTTAACCACTGGACCACCAGAGAAGTCCCTCATCTTAAATTTTAAAAGCAGATTAACATTAAGAGCAAGTTATCAGGACTACATCGTAAACACTGAGCCTGTGAAAACAAAAGGAGAGATAGCGACTGTTCAAACTCACATCAAATGGCTGGTGAATTCCCTTGGCAACAGCTTGGTATAGAGAGCTGGTGGCATTGCTGCCCCTCTTAACATGTGGTCCAGCACCGAGGACATGCTGGAGAACACTAAACGCATTTGCTTCTGCACTTCCTGCAGCAGCACTTTCTGCTACAAGAGCAGCATGGACGAGACTGTCTCCATTCTGTTCTCGAATTTCACCTGGGGCCAGGTAAGGCAAGAGCGAAGAAAGTGGCTTTTGGTTTTATTCTTCAATATTCTCTACAACACAGTATTAACCCATTAAGATTAAGCTTTTCCCTAGCCTGGCTCTCCTTGCTATCCTGCCCTTCCCCCAACACATACACAAACATGTTTAATACATAACACTCAAGCAATCTAATTCTTTCTTTCCACACTGATACTATTTGGTAGTAAATAATCAGGCCTATTATACTCCAATATGCTACTGGGGGGAGAGGCGGCATCCTGGTAAATTAACCTTAATGGAACAAAGCGCTTACCTCCACGGTACTTGGTCTTTGCACCAGATAAACCAAGCCCACCCCTCATGTTGAGAAACTGTTCAGCAACTTGCTTTAGAACAGGATGACTCACACCTATTTCAAAAGAAACAAAAACAAACTAGAACCAGAATTTCTAGAACACAATTGTAAAACACTATTTTAAAAATACATCATTATACAATTCAAATATTACAGAAATAAACAGTAAAGAAAATAACAGCCTCCCATAATGCCACTCTTCCAGACATATGCATTTACAGCTTTACTATATATTCATCTAGAACTTTTTCTATGCAAATATTATCCTTTTTATTTTTAAAATGGTGTCATTCTATTGATATTGTTTCTAACTTGTTTTTTGTAATTTACATCTAAGTGAATGGACTACACCAAACATTCAATGGTTATAAAGAATTTTATTATATGGATATACCATCATTTATTTAATCAATCTCTTCTTGAGGGACATTAGTATGCTTCTAATAGTTGGCTATTAAAACAATATGGCAATGTGCATCAAAAGACATTTTCAAAAGAGTGAAAAGATAATCCACAAAATGGGAAAAAATCTGGTAAGGATTAGTATCCAGAATATATAAAGAACTCTTATAACTGAACAATTAAAAAAAACAAATAACCCAATTAAAAAATGGGCAAGGGACTTGAATAAGCATTTCTCCAAATAAGATATATAGATGGCCAAAAAGCACAAAAAAATATGTTCAATGTTATCAATCACTACGGAAATGCATATCAAAACCACAATGAGACACTACTTCACACCCATTAGGATGGCCATAATCAAAGACAGATAATAAGTGTTGATAAGGATGTGGAGAAATTGGAACCCTTGTGCACTGCTGATGGAATGTAAAATGGTTCAACTGCTTTGGAAAACAGTCTCGCAGTTCTTCAAATGGATAAACAGAGAGATACCCTATCCTGGCAATTCTACTCCTAGGTATACACCCAAAACAATGAAAAAGATGTTTTGTTAAAAAACTTATATATGAATGTTTATATTCATAAAAGCCAAAACATTCAGGAACAACCCAAATGTCCAGCTAATGAATGAATAACAAAATGTGGTAATGAAATATATTTTTCAGCCAGAAAAGGGAATGGAACATTGGTACATGTTACAATATGGATGGACTTTGAAAACATTATGCTAAGTAACTAAGTGAAAGAAGCCAGTTACAAAGGCTATTATTGTATAATTCCCTTTATATGAAATGTCCAGAATAGTCAGCTCTATACAGACAGAAAGGAGATTAATGGTTGCCAGGGGCAAGGAGGAGGTGGAACAAGGAGTGACTGCTAATGAGTATGGGGTTTCTTTTGGGAATGGTGAAAATGTTCTGGAATTAGATAGTGGCAATAGTTGCATAACTCTGTGAGTATACTAAAAACCACAAACTGTACACTTTAAAAGGGTGAATTTTATGGCATGTGAATTATACCTCAATTAAGCTGTTATTTATAAAACAAATGAACAAAAACCCAATATTGCAAATAATATTCTCATGCGACTATTTTGTAAACCTGAACAAATGTTTTGGCAGGGTAAATTCTTAAAAGTAAATGCTGGGCCTAAGAGTATAAACAATTACAATTTTAATATATTAAAATAAACCTCCAGGGACTTCCCTGGTAGCACAGTGGTTAAGAATCCACCTGCTGGGCTTCCCTGGTGGCACAGCGGTTGAGAGTCCACCTGTCAATGCAGGGGATGTGGGTTCGTGTCCCCGTCCGGGAAGATCCCACATGCCACGGAGTGGCTGGGACCGTGAGCCATGGCCGTTGAGCCTGCGTGTCCGGAGCCTGTGCTCCGCAACGGGAGAGGCCACAGCAGTGAGAGGCCCGCATACCGCAAAAACAAACAAACAAAAAGAATCCACCTGCTGATGCAGGAGACACGGGTTCAATCCCTGGTCCGGGAAGATCCCACATGATGCAGGGCAACAACTACTAAGCCTGTGCGCCACAAAAGAGCCTGCGCTCTAGAGGCCGTGAGCCACAACTACTGAGGCCACGTGCTTCAACTACTGAAGCCCGCACGCCTAGAGCCTGTGCTCCGCAATGAGAGAAGCCACCGCAATGAGAAGCCACCGCAATGAGAAGCCCGCACACCACAACGAAGAGTAGCCCCACTCGCCACAACTAGAGAAAGCCCGCGTGCAGCAACAAAGACCCAATGCAGCCAAAAAAAAAAAAAAGTCCTCCAAAAATGTACCATTTTGGGGCTTCCCTGGTGGCACAGTGGTTGGGAGTCCGCCTGCCGATGCAGGGGACACGGGTTTGTGCCCCAGTCCGGGAGGATCCCACATGCCGCGGAGCGGCTCGGCCCGTGAGCCATGGCCACTGGGCCTGTGCGTCCAGAGCCTGTGCTCCGCAACGGGAGAGGCCACAACAGTGAGAGGCCTGCGTACCGCAAAAAAAAAGTACCATTTTACACTCCCACCAATAATTTTTGAGAGTACCTATTTCTCCATACCATGGTTAATACTGGGCAGTGTCAATCTTTTAATTTTTGTCAATTTCACAGATTAAAAATTTTTTAGTTATTACATCTTTTACAATAATTGGCCACACACACACACACACACACACTTTCCCCATGAATTGGTTCATGCCCTTTGTCTATTTTTCTACTAAACTGTACTTAAAACAAAGCAAAACAAAAACAAAAGCTCTTTGTAAAAGCTCTTTGCTTAGAGAAATCTGCCCTTTGTCATAGGTTTTGCAAATACTGTAATGAATTTGAAAGCCAGTGCTTTAAAAAGTTAAATGCTGGATTCTGCTCAAAAATAAAAAAGACTAGCTATTTTTTTTTTTTAAGAGTTGTGGAGGATTTATTTATATGCTATAAAACTGTGTTGGGGAAGTTGTATTTTTTTTATTTTTTATTGACGTATAATTGATTTACAATGTTGTGTTAATTTCTGCTATAAAGTGACTCAGTTATACATATATATATTCTTTTTCATATTCTTTTCCATTATGGTTTATCACAGGATATTGAATATACTTCTCTGTGCTATACAGTGGGACCTTGTTGTTTACCCATTCTACATATAATAGTTTGCACCTACTAATCCCAAACTCCCAATACTTCCCTCCCCCAGCCCCCTCCCCCTTGGCAACCACAAGTCTGTTCTCTGCGTGAGTCTGTTTCTATTTCATAGATAAGTTCATTTGTGTCATATTTTAGATTCTATGTATAAGTGATATATGGTATTTGTCTTTCTCTTTCTGACTTACTTCGCTTAGTATGATAATCTCTATGTCCATCCATGTTGCTGCAAATGGCATTATTGCATTCTTTTTAATGGCTGAGTAATATTCTATTGTATATATGTACCACACCGTCTTTATCCATTCATCTGTCAATGGACATTTAGGTCGTTTCCATGAAAGACTAGCTATTAAAATCCTATCACATACTGACTTTCTTTTTTTTTTTTCTTTTTCTTTTGCAGTACGCAGGCCTCTCACTGTTGTGGCCTCTCCCATTGCGCAGCACAGGCTCCGGACGCGCAGGCTCAGCGGCCATGGCTCACGGGCCCAGCCGCTCTGCGACATGTGGGATCTTCCCAGACCGGGGCACGAACCCGCATCCCTTGCGTCGGCAGGCGGACTCTCAACCACTGCGCCACCAGAAAAGCCCCACATACTGACTTTCTGACATAAACAGAGGATGAGTTCTGAAATTTTGTGTTCACATAATTATAGCTTAAAGAACTACTCTTTTTTATTTAATGACTCACATTGAGACAGTGAAAAAATACTTTTATTCATAACTATAAGTGCAACATTTAACAGTAGCACATCTTAGAGTTTCTCTTTTTTCAATTAACCACTTTCTAGAATGAGACAGAACAACATAATGGAGAACTGTATAATCAAAATTTAAGAAAATACCCAAGTGAGTATATTATAAATTGAGGCTGGTTACCTATATAGTGACAGAATTACAATGTACTGGAAAGGTGTCCCATCCCCTACCACACCAAATTATAAAGGAAAAGTCAGCAGCCTCAGTGAATTTTCTGACTATCTACCACTTTCTCTGGGAGCCAAGAACCATGGAACTGTAAATTATCTAAATATCGCTCTATATATAACTATAAAAGATGTATATATACATAGTTACATGTGATAGTACCTGATTTTTCAGAGTTTCAAGGATAATTCTACCTCCTCATTGAATAAGTCAGTCACATGTTTCACTATCTGCCAAGTCATACTTCTTTTTTTTAACTGAAGATTTACAATGTTGTGTTAGTTTCTGGTATACAGCAAAGTGATTCAGTTATAAATATTCTTTTCCATTATGGTTTATTACAGGATATTGAATATAGTTTCCTGTACAATAGGATCTTGTTGTTTATCCATTCTATATATAACAGTTTATATCTGCTATTCCCAAACTCCCAATCCAACCCTCCCCTGTCGCCCTCCCTGTTGGCAACCAAAAGTCTGTTTTCTATGTCTGTGACTTAAAAAACTACTCTTAAAAGAAGCAAACTGACATGCAGGCAATTCCCAACTTACCAAGTCCAATCAAAGCCATTCTTGCACTTGTAAAATGATTCTGTACATAGTCATGTAACTGAGGAAGTAAAAACATTTATTAGGTTATATTGGTATAAATATAAAAAGCTATAAAAACGTGAAACCACAGTTCAGCAGAAGATAAATACTCAGGCTTAAAAGCTGCTATAATGAACTATAAAGGACTACTTAGTACTGAATTAAACTGAGCTTTCAAAAACCATTGCTTAAAAAGAACTAGAACTTAATGTGGTGATGGTTATGTAACTCAGTGAATATAATAAAAACCACTGAATTGTGCATTTTAAATGCGTGAACTGTATGGTATGTGAATTACATCTCAATGAAGCTGTTAATGGAAAAAAACAGAATTAAAAATTAGAGCACACATTGGCTTGAACTTGAAGATATGGGACTAAGTATGATTTTTATTATAATGTGATTTAAGTAGTACATCAGGTTTCTTTTGTCTTTATACAGGTAGTAATAAAGCACTGCTATTAACATTCTATAGTAGGGCTAATAGAGTTATATTACTATACCCCTATTGCACATCTTTGAAGGTTTTTTTACTCTGAGGTTACTGTCTATACCAGGGTTTCCAACCTGGATGATTACAGAATTATATGGGGAGCTTAAAAAACAAAAACAATGTCTCCCCACCCCATCCTATTCCTGTGCCCACTGTATAGACTGATATAGTAGATTCAATGTGAGATCTTGGAATCTTTATTTAAAACAAACCACCCACCCATCTAATCAACCACCCAGGTGATCTGAGGATCAGCGAGATTTGACAATCACTGGTTTATACTATCACTTTAGACCTAATATTCAAAAGTAGGGCTAAAACATGCATTCTAAACAGGCACACTATTGCTCCCACGGGAGTGAAAATTAGTTCTTTGGGGTAAGAAAAAACCTTATTCCTTTATATATAAACTACAAATATACATACAGTACATAAACAGATATACAGTATATCCATGGCATTAAGTAAGAAGTAAGTCAGAAAAAGAAAAACAAATACCGTATGCTAACACATATATACGGAATCTAAGAAAAAAAAAAAAAAGGTCATGAAGAACCTAGGGATAAGACGGGAATAAAGACACAGACCTACTAGAGAATGGACTTGAAGATATGGGGAGGGGGAAGGGTAAGCTGGGACAAATTGAGAGAGTGGCATGGACATATATACACTACCAAACGTAAAATAGATAGCTAGTGGGAAGCAGCCGCATAGCACAGGGAGATAAGCTCGGTGCTTTGTGACCACCTAGAGGGGTGGGATAGGGAGGGTGGGAGGGAGGGAGACGCAAGAGGGAAGAGATATGGAAACATATGTATATGTATAACTGGTTCACTTTGTTATGAAGCAGAAACTAACACACCATTATAAAGCAATTATACTCCAATAAAGATGTTAAAAAAAAAATTCACGAGGGGGTGGGTATTGGCTGAAAAGGCTCCTTGGCTAATGTTGAGAACTGTGAAGCTAAGGTAATAAAACTAAACTTTTATTCAATTTATCAGAATTTGTGCCCTAAAATGAATGGTGTCTCCATCTATGGAGCCACCTTGGAAAGTCATATTCTTTTTTTTTTAATGTTGATGTTTTTCTATTGAATGCTGCCTTTGCTCAAATTATTCTAGCAACCATTTCTTTAGAATTTCCTTTAGCCTAGGGATACATTTAAAAAATGCTAATAACTTTGAGATAACCATGGTTAACATCTTGGTATTTGTCTATGATGCACAAACCTTATTTTTTTAAAAATGGGACCCCTTGGTACATCCTATTCATAAATTACCTTTCCTTTACTTGACAATAAGCTATGAAAACTTCATTATCAATTAATATTTTTGAATGGTTCAATAGTATGCCATTCTACAGATATTTAATATATTATTTAACTAGTTCTCTAATGTCGGATATTTGATTTGTTTCTTCTAATTTTTCACAATTACAAACAATGCCACAATAGACATCCTTGTAGGTAAATGTTTTGTTATCTGCATCCTTTTAGCTACCTCAATAATATATCTTCACAAGAGTGAATTTGATTTCTGAAAAACTTCAAAAACTTACTAGAGGCCAGTCTTATGAAACATGTTGGCTGTTCCAAGTTGGATGATATCAGTTATAACTTTGTTTAACAGTACCATATGAATGGTAGGCATTAAATTGATAACTGGATAGTTTTCTTAACCAGGAGATAAGTCAAAAGAGGAAAGGGATACAAAATTCAGTTTTCTGTAGTGGATAACCAGAAATGAGAATGAAAGCCTAATTTCTGAGTCATATATACTTTGAAAGTGTTGATAATTCCCAGTTTTTCTCTTAATGTCTCTTGGTAAAAAGTTTTTTTGGGGGTGGGTGAGGGGTAGGAGTAGGAAATTAAGATTGTATACACATACCTACACTTGCAAATTTAATGCTCAATGTTTCACATTTTGGAAACAAAGTTCTATGATATATACATGGCTGTGACATATGACAAATGTGCACTGCCAGCAAAGTGAGGCAGGTGTGCTAGAGAAGGTAAATGAGCTGGTGAGCAGGCTGATGACAGAACGGGAGGCAAGAAAGTGGGGTTCATTCCTACCTATGTATTCAGAGTGGTTAAAGGAAGACTTTTAGTCACAAGATTATGGTATTTAAACACTTACATACTGTTTAAAAGATAGATATACATAGACAAGGGTCTAGAAGAAAAATACACCTAGGTGCTAACAATGAGTGCCTTTAGGTGTGTGAGATATCTTTTGTCCCCCTTTATTTTCTGAAATTTCTGTAAGGAACATGTCCATTTTGCAATAAAAACTTTTTTAGTTGAAAGATACACAAAAATTGTTCAGATGGAATTTTAGTTAAAAAGCAAGCTGCTGGATAGGAAATTCCCTGGCTGTCCAGTGGTTAGAACTCTGCTCTTCCACTGCAGGGGGCACCAGTTCAGTCACTCGTAGGGGAACTAGGACCCCACAAGCTGCATGGCGTGGACAGAAAAAAAAAAAAAAAAAGCAAGCTGATGGAAAAAAAGCAAGCTAGAAAATTTCTTAAATTAGAAGATACAGGCTTCCCTGGTGGTGCAGTGGTTGAGAGTCCGCCTGCCAATGCAGGGGACATGGGTTCGTGCCCCGGTCCCACATGCTGCAGAGCAGCTGGGCCCGTGAGCCATGGCTGCTGGGCCTGCACGTCCGGAGCCTGTGCTCCGCAACGGGAGGGGCCGCAGCAGTGAGAGGCCCGCGTACCAGAAAAAAAAAAAAAAAAAATTAGAAGATACAAAAAACAAGCAAACAAAACTGAAGTGGTAGATGAACATTCAATTTAATGTGAAAATAAGCACATTTTAAAAGGTAATGTGTTGGAGCCTGAACCAAGATGGCAGAGTAGAAGGACGTGCTCTCACTCCCTCTTGTGAAAACACCAGAATCACAACTAGCTGCTGGACAAGCATCGACAGGAAGACACTGGAACTCACCAAAAAATATACCCCACATCCAAAGACAAAGGAGAAGCCACAGTGAGATGGTAGGAGGGGTGCAATCACAGCAAAACCTAATCCCATAACTGCTGGGTGGGTTACTCAGACTGGAGGACACTTATACCACAGAAGTCCACCCACTGGAGTAAAGGTTCTGAGCCCCACGTCAGGCTTCCCAAACTAGAGGCCCGGCAACGGGAGGAGGAATTCCTAGAGAATCAGGCTTTGAAGCCTAGTGGGATTTGATTGCAGGACTTCAACAAGACTGGGGGAAACAGAGACTCCACTCTTGGAGGGCATACACAAAGTAGTGTGTGCATTGGGACCCAGGGGAAGGAGCAGTGACACCAGGGGAGACTGAACCAGACCTGCATGCTAGTGTTGGAGGGTCTCCTGCAGAGGTGGGGTGTAGCTGTGGCTCACAGTGAGGACAAGGACACTGGCAGCAGAAGTTCTGGGAAGTACACCTTGGCGTGAGCCCTCTCAGAGTCCGCCATTAGCCCCACCAAAGAGCCCAGGTAGGCTCCAGTGTTGGGTTCCCTCAGGCCAAGCAACCAACAGGGAGGGAACCCAGCCCCACCCATCAGCAGTCAAGTGGATTAAAGTTTTACTGAGCTCTGCCCACCAGAGCAACAGTCAGCTCTACCCATCACCAGTCCCTCCCATCAGGAAACCTGCACAAGCCTCTTAGATAGCCTCATCCACCAGAGGGCAGACAGCAGAAGCAAGAAGAACTACAATCCTGCAACCTGTGGAACAAAACCCACATTCACAGAAAGAAAGACAAGATGAAAAGGCAGAGGGCTATGTACCAGATGAAGGAACAAGATAAAACCCAAGAAAAACAACTAAATGAAGTGCACATAGGCAACCTTCCAGAAAAAGAATTCAGAATATGATAGTGAAGATGATACAGGACCTCGGAAAAAGAATGGAGGCAAAGATTGAGAAGATATGAGAAATGTTTAACAAAGACCTAGAAGACTTAAAGAACAAACAAACAGAGATGAACAATACAATAACTGAAAAGAAAAATATACTAGAAGGAAACAATAGCAGAATAACTGAGGCAGAAAAATGGATAAGTGACCTGGAAGACAGAATGGTGGAATTCACTGCTGCGGAACAGAATAAAGAAAAAAGAATGAAAAGAAATGAAGACAGCCTAAGAGACCTCTGGGACAACATTAAACGCAACAACATTCGCATTATAGGGGTCCAGAAGGAGAAGAGAGAGAGAAAGGACCAGAGAAAATATTTGCAGAGATTATAGTTGAAAACTTCCCTAACATGGGAAAGGAAATAGCCACCCAAGTCCAGGAAGTGCAGAGAGTACCATACAGGATAAACCCAAGCAGAAACACGCCAAGACACATAGTAATCAAGTTGGCAAAAATTAAAGACAAATTATTGAAAGCAGCAAGGGAAAAATGACAAATAACATAAAAGGGAACTCCCATAAGGTTAACAGCTGATTTCTCAGCAGAAACTCTACAAGCCAGAAGGGAGTGGCATGATATACTTAAAGTGATGAAAGGGAAGAACCTACAACCAAGATTACTCTACCCAGCAAGGATCTCATTCAGCTTCGATGGAGAAATCAAAAGCTTTACAGACAAGCAAAAGCTAAGAGAATTCAGCACCACCAAAACAGCTGTACAACAAATGCTAAAGGAACTTCTCCAGGCAGGAAACACAAAAGAAAAAGACCTACACAAAGAAATCCCAAACAGTTAAGAAAATGGTAATGGGAACGTATGTATCAATAATTCCCTTAAATGTAAATGGATTAAATGCTCCAAGCAAAAGACACAGGCTTGCAGAATGGATACAAAAACAAGACCCATATATACACTGTCTACAAGAGACCCACTTCAGACCTAGGGACACATACAGACTGAAAGTGAGGAGATAGAAAAAGATATTTCATGCCAATGGAAATCAAAAGAAAGCTGGAGTAGCAATACTCATATCAGATAAAATAGGCTTTAAAATAAACAATGTTACAAGACACAAGGAAGGACACTACATAATGATAAAGGGATCAATCCAAGAAGATAAAACAATTATAAATATATATGCACCCAACATAGGAGCACCTCAATACATAAGGCAACTGCTAACAGCTGTAAAAGAGGAAATCGACAGTAACACAATAATAGTGTAGGACTTTAACACCTCACTTACACCAATGGACAGATCATTCAAAATGAAAATAAATAAGGAAACAGAAGCTTTAAATGGCACAGTAGACCAGATAGATTTAATTGATATTTATAGAACATTCCAACCAAAAACAGCAGATTACACTTTCTTCTCAAGTGCACACGTAACACTCTCCAGGATAGATCACATCTTGGGTCACAAATCAAGCTTCAGTAAATTTAAGAAAATTGAAATCATATCAAGCATCTTTTCTGACCACAATGCTATGAGTTCAGAAATGAATTACTGGGGAAAAAAATGTAAAAAACAGAAACACATGGAGGTTAAACACTACGTTACTAAATAACCAAGAGATCAATGAAGAAATCAAAGAGGAAATCAAAAAATACCTAGAGACAAATGACAATGAAAACATGACAATCCAAAACCTATGGGATGCAGCAAAAGCAGTTCTAAGAGGGAAGTTTATAGCTATACAAGCCTATCTCAAGAAACAAGAAAAATCTCAAATAAACAATCTAACCTTACACCTAAAAGAATTAGAGAAAGAAGAACAAAGAAAATCCAAAGTTAGCAGAAGGAAAGAAATCATAAAGACCAGAGCAGAAATAAATGAAATAGAAACAAAGAAAACAATAGCAAAGATCAATAAGATTAAAAGCTGGTTCTTTGAGAAGATAAACAAAATTGATAAACCATTAGCCAGACTCATCGAGAAAAAGAGGGAGAGGACTCAAATCAATAAAATTAGAAATGAAAAAGGAGAAGTTACAACAGACACCACAGAAACACAAAGCAACCTAACAGACTACTACAACCAACTCTATGCCATTAAAATGGACAACCTGGAAGAAATGGGCAAATTCTTAGAAAGGTATAACCTTCCAACACTGAACTAGGAAGAAACAGAAAATATGAACAGACCAATCACAAGTAATGAAATTGAAACTGTGATTAAAAATCTTCCAACAAACAGAAGTCCAAGACCACATGGCTTCACAGGTGAATTCTATCAAACATTTACAGAAGAGCTAACACCCATCCTTCTCAAACTCTTCCAAAAAATTGCAGAGGAAGGAACACTCCCAAACTCATTCTATGAGGCCACCATCACCCTGATACCAAAACCAGGCAAAGACACTACAAAAAGAGAAAATTACAGACCAATATCACTGATGAATATAGATGCAAAAATCCTCAACAAACTACTAGCAAACAGAATCCAACAACACATTAAAAGGATCATACATCATGATCAAGTGGGATTTTCCCCAGGGATGCAAGGATTCTTCAATATATGCAAATCAATCAATGTGATACACCATGTTAACAAACTGAATAATAAAAACCACGTATCATCTCAATAGATGCAGTAAAAGCTTTTGACTAAATTCAACACCCAGTTATGATAAAAACTCTCCAGAAAGTGGGCACAGAGGGAACCTAACTCAACATAATAAAGGCCATATACGACAAACCCACAGCAAACATCATTCTCAATGGTGAAAAACTGAAAGCATTTCCTCTAAGATCGGGAACAAGACAAGGATGTCCACTCTTGCCACTATTATTCAACAGTTTTGGAAGTCCTAGCCATGGCAATCAGAGAAGAAAAAGAAATAAAAGGAATACAAATTGGTAAAGAAGAAGTACAACTGTCACTTTTTGTAGATGATATGATACTATACATAGAGAATCCTGAAGATTTCACCAGAAAACTGCAAGAGCTAATGAATGAATTTAGTAAAGTTGCAGGATACAAAATTAATGCACAGAAATCTCTTGCAGTCCTATACACTAATGATGAAAAATCTGAAAGAGAAATTAAGGAAACACTCCCATTCACCATTGCAACAAAAAGAATAAAATACCAAGGAATAAACCTACCTAAGGAGGTGAAAGACCTGTACTCAGAAAACTATAAAACACTGATGAAGGAAATCAAAGATAACACAAACAGATGGAGAGATATACTATGTTTTCGGATTGGAAGAATCAACATTGTGAAAATGACGATACTACCCAAAGCAATCTACAGATTCAATGCAATCCCTATCAAATTACCAATGGCATTTTTTTTTTTTTTTTTTGTGGTATGCAGGTCTCTCACTGCTGTGGCCTCTCCCATTGCAGAGCACAGGCTCCGGACGCACAGGCTCAGTGGCCATGGCTCACGGGCCCAGCCGCTCCGCAGCATGTGGGATCTTCCTGGACCAGGGCATGAACCCGTGTTCCCTGCATCGGCAGGCGGACTCTCAACCACTGCACCACCAGGGAAGCCCACCAATGGCATTTTTTACAGCACTAGAACAAAAAATCTTAAATTTGAATGGAGACACAAAAGACCCTGAATAGCAAAGGCAATCTTGAGGGAAAAAAACGGAGCTGGAGGAATCAGACTCCCTGGCTTCAGACTATACTACAAAGCTACAGCAATCAAGACAATATGGTCCTGACAAAAAACAGAAATATAGATCAATGGAACAGGATAGAAAGCCCAGAGATAAACCCACACACCTATGGTCAACTAATCTATGACAAAGGAGGCAAGGATATACAATGGAGAAAAGACAGTCTCTTCAATAAGTGGTCCTGGGAAAACTGGACAGCTACATGTAAAAGAATGAAATTAGAACACTCCCTAACACCATACACAAAAAGAAACTCAAAATGTATTAGAGACCTAAATGTAAGACCAGACACTATAAAACTCTTCGAGAAAAACATAGGCAGAACACTCTTTGACGTAAATCACAGCAAGATCTTTTTTGACCCACCTCCTAGAGTAATGGAAATAAAAACAAAAATAAACAAATGGGACCAAATGAAACTTAAAAGCTTTTGCACAGCAAAGGAAACTATAAACAAGACGAAAAGACAAACCTCACAGTGGGAGAAAATATTTGCAAATGAATCAACGGACAAAGGATTAATCTCCAAAATATATAAACAGCTCATGCAGCTCAATGTTAAAAACACAACAACCCAATCCAAAAATGGGCAGAAGATCTAAATAGACATCTCTCCAAAGAAGACATACAGGTGGCAAAGAGGCACATGAAAAGCTGCTCAACATCACTCATTATTAGAGAAATGCAAATCAAGACTACATGAGGTATCACCTCACACAGGTTAGAATGGGCATCATCAGAAAATCTATAAACAACAAATGCTGGAGAGGATGTGGAGAAAAGGGAACCCTCTTGAACTGTTTGTGGGAATGTAAATTGATACAGCCACTATGGATAACAGTATGGAGGTTCCTTAAAAAACTAAAACTAGAATTACCATATGATCCAGCAATCCTACTATGGGGCATAACCCAGAGAAAACCATAATTCAAAAAGACACATGCACCCCAATGTTCATTGCAGCACTATTTACAATAACCAGGGTATGGAAGCAACCTAATTTCCCATTGACAGACGAATGGATAAAGAAGATGTGGTACATATATACAATGGAATATTACTCAGCCATAAAAAGGAACGAAATTGGGTGATTTATAGAGATGTGGATGGACCTAGAGACTGTCATACAGAGTGAAGTAAGTCAGAAAGAGAAAAACAAATATCATATATTAACACACATATGTGGAATCTAGAAAAATGGTACAGATGAACCGGTTTGCAAGGCAGAAATAAAGACACAGATGTAGAGAACAAACGTATGGACACCAAGGGGGGGAAGTGGGGGAGAGTGGTGGCATTAAAAAATAAAGAAAAGTACTGGAGACAGAGATTTGTATGCCATGTTAATCAATTTGAACTTTATCCTGAAAAACATGGGAAATCATTGAAAAAGTTTAAGCAGGTGGGTGACTTGATCAGCAAAATGTTTCTCAAACTTCACTCATTATAACACCTTCATGATTTTTGCCTTATCTTCATATCACCTGTAGTTAATTTACTTAATGTTGTTCAAACTAACCTTTTATTCTTTTACAAACATATGTCAAGAGGAAACTCATTACCACCACTGCTTGCCATAATAAATATTCAAAATAAATATATAACTATTAAAGTAGAACAATGTTCATTTATGTACCAACTTTAAATCATCTCATGCACCACTATGTAAATCTACCACAGTTTTGTGCCAGAGTCTTAAGATCTGTTTGTTTGTTTTAATATATTTTGGCCACACCACCCGTGGCTTGTGGGATCTCTGTTCCTGACCAAGGATTGAACCCATGACAGAGCAGAATCTTAACCACTAGGCCACCAGGGAACTCCTGCCGGATTCTTAATGACCGGGTCTTAGATGTCACCTGGAATCTCCTGTTAGAGAACCACTTGTAACTGTGAAGAAATTCGGACACAGGCCGAGGGCATAAATTTTGTCTATGCTCTGTAACGCCTAAAACCAGCCCTTATGAAATTTTAATGTGCATACGAATCACCTCGGGAACTTGTAAAACTCAGATTTTGATCCATTATGTAATCTGAAGATTCTGCATTTCTAACAAACCCCTAAATGACATTAATGTTGGTTTCCCAACCACGCAACGTTGCAAGGTACGAGATTTTACTTCCCTTAAGGGGAGGGACCGTGCCTTAATCTTTAGTATAGTGTCTGGCACAGGCAACTTATTAGCTAACAGTCGTTGAAGACAGCACAGAATTTTCTTCCCACAAAAGCTGTCACGTGACTCTCCATATGCAGGCTTCAGATCAGAAGTCTCTCTCACACACACACACCACTACTATTCAAAACATTTTAATTTTTCTAAGACAAAACTATATTTCAGTTTTTATTTTCTACGTAATCTCAGTCTAGAATATAAACTCTATGAGACCAGAGACCTTAGTCGTAAGCATTTCCTAAGTTTCGGTCTCACCTATGTGTGTCCCAGGCCTGGTCTGGGAGTTATAGCGGCGAATTCATTGGACAAGGGCTCTGTTCCTATGGAGCTAATGAGCTACTGAGGACCTCACCAAGCAAGAGGCGATCACACCCGGCTTCAAAGCCTATGTCTCTGTAGGGGAGCAGATATGGAATAGTCTCCTAAAGCCTCCGGCTTCCACAGTGCAGGAAGTCCTGAAGTTCAGAAGACTGGCGCCCAGAGGCCGCGGGTGGGATCCGGCGAACCGGGGCTCTTTCATTGGACAGCCCGGATCGGAAGAATCCAAAGTGGAGGGGGGGTGTTGCGATAGGCTGTCGCAGACGTAGTCAGAAGAGGATTAAAAAGCGGATATCCGGGCCAGGAAGAGAACTCAAAAAGCGGTAACTTAAATCATCTAAATTAGCTTCTGAAAACTGCGTTACGAAATTATGCGTCTCCCTATCCTGCGTCTTGGCGAGTTGGACTGTTCCAACCTCCTCCAAGGAGCAGTAGAGTGCGGTCGGTCGTATAGAGAGTCCCCTCACGTAGGAGGCGTGGGAAAGAGTGCCGCGGGGCAGTCTGGGCCGCTCCCGCCGTCCGCCGCCATCTTGCTTTACTCTAAGGCGGCTGTGACCGCGGCTCAGAGCAAACTTGAGCCATGAGGCTAATAGCCAGAGCTGGGTCCCTCTCGGTGAGTACAGCTGGCGGGCTTGGGGGAGGGTGGGGGAGCAGATTGTCAGCAAGGTCATACGGACCGGAGGTGCCTGGTTTGGGCTCCCGGGGCCTTGGGTTTTGTTCTGCCCTTCAGGTGAATCCTGCCGGCCAAGTGGGCTGCAGGCTGGGTGGATTGGGCGTTGGAAGGCCAGCTCGTGCTTTGAGCAGAGAAGACTTAATGCTGGAAAACCTGAAGAGAGGGGGAGGGCTTAAGAGCGGAGGTGAAGCGACTCGGGTGGAGACACCTTTGAAGGTCACTGCTGCACTTGGTGTGCAGAAGGAGACCGCGAGATCTGGGCCGCAGGAGGCCGGCGTAGACCTAGTCCCCCATCCCTAACCTATCAACTGCGGCCTCTTCTTCTTGACGTATCACGGAGCATCAGCTTCCCCAACGGTTAAGTGGGCTTATGAGTAAAATCATAAGGAAGAAATGAGTTAATGCCTTTATAGCTCTTTTCACCGTGCCTGGAACTTGATTGTTACTGTGGTGTCCTGGCTGTATAAAGTGTGCTTTTCTTGATCTCTTGTTAGAGTTTATCCAGGAGGGTTTCTTGGCGTGCCCTCTAGAGCTTCTTAAGACTCCTCCTTCAAGCCCGAGTGAAACACAGCTGTCGCTTGGGGAAAACTCCTCTAGGGTCAGTGTTATATCAGTGTGAACCGGTGGTTGTCAAGGGGGGACAGTCTCAGTCTCTGAGATTTAAAAAGTTCAGCGAAGGGCTTACCTGGTGGCGCAGTGGTTGGGAGTCCGCCTGCCGATGCAGGGAACACGGGTTCGTGCCCCGGTCCGGGAGGATCCCACATGCTGCGGAGCGGCTGGGCCCTTGAGCCATGGCCGCTGAGCCTGCGCGTCCGGAGCCTGTGCTCCGCAGCGGGAGAGGCCACAGCAGTGAGAGGCCCGCGTACCGCAAAAAAAAAAAGTTCAGCGAGGCCAATTTTGCCCCCCAGGGGACAGTTGGCAATGTATCTAGAGACATTTTTGGTTGTAACAGCCTGGGGGGAAGTGCTACTGCTGAACATCCTACGGTGCACAAAGCCACCCACAATAAAGAATTTTCCAGCTCAAAGTGTCAAGAGTACCTGGGTTACTGAGTAACCTAGTAACCTTCTAGAAGGAGGTGCAGAAGACCAGGGAATGGAGTTTCCCTGTGCTTAATGTTTAAATACATAAAATATGAATTTTACAAATAGCTGTAATTTAGTCTGTAGCTCTCTTACCCTTCTTAGCACCCCTAGACTAACCAGTGATTAATAACCCTTAGAGAGAAGCCCAGTTAGACTGGCAAAAGGCCCCAAAAGCTCTTCCTCCATTGCATCCATCCCCACCTTCCAGTAGAAAAAAGAACTCAGAGTTGAAGAGGACCAATGTAAACAAATTGCAATAAGCTTGAAAGCAGTTGTTTCTACTTATAACACTTATTTTACATAAGAATAAATTTATACATCTTTTGTTATTTAAACAAATTAGTAGTTGTATGAACAATTACTAGGATAATATTTTGCAACAGACTTGAATGGGAGAAATTATAGGAAGTACCTAACCAACAAAGTATCACTGTTCAGGCACATTTGAGAGGAGAGCACCTAAATGTACCTTAGCAATAGAACTATGGATTATTTGAACTGCTGTGCCCACAGCAGCTTTTTTACTTTCTGGAAAATCAAAAGCTAGAATCAACAGTAGGGTTAACTATACCACACCCAGGAAATGAAATTGATGATGATAAAGCAAAGCTAATTGGAATTTATAATTTGAAAGCACTAACAGCAAATGAAAACTAGGAACCAGCTTATCGATAGTATAGCACTGATGCTGAATGCACAACAAAAAACCCGTCCTGGACAACATGGAGTAGAGGCATTGCAGCCTCTGAGGGGGGTCCTTGGGAAACTCTAGCAGCATGTTCATTTGATCCTGGGAGTACCAAGGATTAACTCTCAACATCTCCACTAGTAACCTTAAGATCCTTAGACATAATCAAAATGAATCATGTGGCATTATATATCATTTGCCAAAAAAAAAAACTGAATAAAGTTATGCATTTTGGATCCATTATCTGACATTTAAGAGGACCCCTTTACCTTTGCAGTGGCTGCATGTTATATACTGAGAATCTACTATGGATGAAGCTATTGTTAATCTCAGGGTATATTAGTCAAAGAAGATAAAACCTTTGGTTGTGTAGTCTTAATGTAGCACAGAAGAGAGTGAAGATACTATGGGAAATATCGGGGGCTGGAGGAAGTTTTCTTTGATATACTTTGTCTTTTTTAAAGATTACTAAACTGATTAAGGAAATGAAGTCATATTGGAAAATAGACTAAAAAGATGAGACTCTTTGGGCAGATAAGGGAAACAATAATGCTGAAATCTATAAAAGCGTATGAATGTGGCTATTCCACACTTTTTCAAAAATTTCCAAAGCATTAGAGCTAGAAAGGACCACTTGAAGTTTTAATAAGGTAGTTAAAAGGTAAAAGAAAATACAGTAATTCTTTACATAGTACAAAATGAACATGTTCAGCTCAGTATTCCTTCAGGCTCTACAAATCACAAATAACTAGAGATTTAAGAGTGGCATGGGTAAACTGGTGGGTAGTAATTTCATAGTAAAGTTAATCAGCTAAATCCCCCCATGGAGTTCTTTTATCACTGAACACCCTCTATTGCTTGGGCCCACTTGGATACAATGCACTATTCTTTTGAGAAATGTGGTAACCTGTCTTTTTTGTGTTTAGAGATTTTATTCCCTCAAAGTTGCTCCCAAAGCTAAAGCCACAACTGCCCCTGCAGGAGTGCCTCCACATCCTCAGGACCTTGAGGTTAGTCCCACTGAGTTGCTCACTGGACACATACGTGCCTTACTGTCCTTGGTAATATAAAGACATTAATCACATCCCTACTTTATTTTAAATACAGTTTACCAAATTACCAAATGGTTTAGTGATTGCTTCTCTCGAAAACTATGCTCCTGCATCAAGAATTGGTTTGTTCATTAAAGCAGGCAGCAGATATGAGGACTCCAACAATTTAGGAACCTCTCATTTGCTTCGTCTTGCATCCAGTTTGGTAAGCATCTTTACTACCTCAATATGTTTAGAAATCTGTGGCACCTTGGTCCTACAGAAAAGAAAAACTAAAAGCAACATCCCTATATTAGTTTCCTGGAGCTACCATAACAAATTACTGCAAACAGGGTGGCTTAAACAACAAGAATTTATCCTCTCACAGTTCTAGAGGCTAGAAGTCAAAGTCAAGGTGTCAGTAGAGCCGTGCTCCCTCTAAAGGCTCTAGGAAGAATCTTGCCTTGTCTCTCCTAGCTTCTGGTGGTTGCTAGCAATCCTTGGCGTTCCTTGGCTTGCAGCTGCATCATTCCAATATCTGCCCCTGTTCTCACATGGCCCCCTCTGTGTCTCTGTGTCCAAATATCCCTCTTATTGAATTTTTCCAGTCATATTAGATTTAGGGCCCACTCTAATCCAGCATGACCTCATTTTAAATATTTATATCTGCAAAGGCTATTTCCAAATAAGGTCACATTTGCGGGTTCTGGGTGGACATGAATTTGGGGGACACTTTCAACCCAGTACAGTCCCCTAATACATCATGAAAAACCACAGGATATTTACCATAGAGAAGCATTAAATTAGTGTCCATCCGAATGTTAGTGCTAGAGCATGAGAAATCAGTAAAAAACAAAATTTTTAATTTTAAAAAAGAAGTGCCAGAAACGGAAAGAAAATTACTCTTTCTCATATGCAAATCTCTTTCAGAATAAATGGATGAATCCAGTAAGCTTTATCTGATAATGGAATTTTTACCTAAATGTACTTTGTATAAAAATCTATACTTGTGCTTTTTGGTCAACTTTGTTTTATAATTCTTAAACTAAAAAGGATTCACTATTCGGTTAGCGTTCCTTTTGAATTTAATGACAATTAGACTTTAGATTTTGACATAAAGTGATGTTTGGCAAGCTTAGCATTAAAAAACTACTAAAAACAATTGTTTTTTCATTTCTAAGACTACAAAAGGAGCTTCATCTTTCAAGATAACCCGTGGAATTGAAGCAGTTGGTGGAGAATTAAGGTTTGTTAAAAATAAGTAATCGGAAATAGTGAAAACACCAGAAGATAATCAATTGTAAAGGAACTTTTCTCTGTTATCAAGGTGGTTAACAATTTCTTAAGGCACAAGAAGGAAAAGAGTGATGAATTTGACTGCATAAAATGTAAAATATCTTTATGCCTTAAAGTAAAAATTTAAGTAACTAGGAATAGATATTTGCAACATATGTAACATGGAGAGGATTATTTGGAAAAATAAAGAACTACAAATTAGGAAAAAACAACCAAAGAGTAAATGGACAGACATAGGAGAGGAACAGGCTGTTCCCAGAAGAGGAAACCAGAAACAATGATATTTACTTATAATCAACAGTGTGATACCATTTTATACTGCTGGTGGGAGAATAAATTGATACATCTACATAGGAAAGAATCAAGGACTATCTGTTAATGTTGAAAATGAGCATATTCTACAACCTAACAGTTTTTAATCCACATGCACAAAGGGATTCTTTATCGTTATTGAGACTGGAAACAATCTAAATGCCTATCTTTAAAGACATGCATAAGTGAAGTATGATATAGTAATATGCTGGGACTACTACACAGCAGTTAAGAATGAACTCAATCTGTTTCAACATAGCAGGCTTTAAAACAAAATGTTTTGTGGAAAAACAAGTTTCAAGATTTTGTTAAGATATGAGGTTTTTAACAAAATAATATGTAATGCCTATGATTATGTTTGTTTCTAGAGTCGGAGAAAGTGTGAGAGTTAGCCTGGGAATGGTACAAAGAGACCTTCAACTTTAAAGTTGCCTTTTTTTTTAAGTAGTGGTAAAATATACTTAACGTAAAATTTACCATCTTCTATTGTATAAGTTCTATGGCAATAAGTGTCATTAAGCAACCATCACCACCACCCATGTCCAGAATGTTTTCATCTTCCCCAACTGAAACTCTGTAGCTATTAAACACTAACTCCCCATCCCCCTCTTCCCCCGGCCCCAGGCAGCCACCATTCTGTGTTCTCTTTCTATGATTTTGACTACTCTAGGTACCTCGTATCAGTGGAATCATACAGTATTTGTTGTCCTTTCATGACTGACTGACTTCACTTAGCAAAATGTCTTCAAGGTTTATCCATGTGTAACATGTCAGGATTTTCTTCTTTTTTTTTAAGGTTGAAATATTTGCAGTTTTCTTAAGATTTTTAAAAATATTTTTAAAATTTAGTTGAGTGTATTTTTGTTATACTATTATTTATACTTTATGTACTTCAAAATAATTTTTTCCAAAAGAATTGGTTGACTTAACGAAGATATAAGGGAAAGCTTGTTCTTCTGATTTAGATAATTCACTGTAATTTATTTTTGACTCAGTGTGATTTCAACAAGGGAAAGCATGGCTTATACTGTGGAATGCCTGCGGGATGATGTGTAAGTACCTTTGTGTGTTTAGAACATCTGCTTTTAAAGAAATACTAAGTTGCTCAGTTGTAGTCTTTTTTTTAATGTGGCATTATGACCTCTGATGTTGGTTTCGGATTATTATTCACAAACTGCCTAAAGTTTAATAATGAGAGCAATACAGTTACGTAGAATGGATGTTGGTTTTAAATTTTTGACTGGTAACCCTTATCTTCATGTCTTCTGTAGTGATATTCTAATGGAGTTCCTGCTCAATGTCACCACAGCACCAGAATTTCATCGCTGGGAGGTAGCTGCCCTTCAGTCTCAGCTAAGGATTGACAAAGCTGTGGCTTTTCAGAATCCACAGGCTCGTAAGTACACTTTCATATTATATTCCGTTGTTTCTAAGATACTGGGTTTTTGAGAAGATCAATTTGTAGAAGAATAAAATTGCTATTGAAATTCTTTTTCTCCTTGGGTTTGAAAATACCCTCTCCAAAAATTTGTCCACTTTTTAAAACATATTGTTCATTTCTAAACATTTGTATTGTTATTTTTCATCTTTGATAGCAAGTAAATTGACTATAGAATCCTAGGCCTTTTGCCTGTGTTGTCCCCCTCCCCGATCTCCCCACCCCTGGTGTTTTTTCAGTGGTTGTTTTGCTTACACTAAATCTGGCAGCAGTTTATTGTTGCTGCTGCTGCTATTATTGTTTAGCCAACTCACTTTTATTGTGTCTTTCCAAAGTAATCAACTTAATTTTAAAAAAAAAAAAACTTTTTTGTATTCATACTTGTGTTTATATAACGTTTAGTTATCTAATCTTGACAAGCACATCTGGCAAAACAAATCTTTAAAAAAAAGCACCACTGATTCTCAGAAGTCACAGCGCTTCTGGTAGGAGCGGAAGTGTGCAGGTAGACCACTGAGGTGTAAGCAGGTGACCAGCTGCAGGGGCTCAGAATGGGATGGACTTCTCAGATGCAGGCCTGTCAAGAGAGGGTCTCCTGTCAAGTGTCTGGAACATAATGAGTGCTTGGTTCCTGTTAGCTCATATTGTTTCACGGAGATAACTTTGTTACTCCACACCTCTACCAAAGAAATAGATAGAATGGTAAAATTGTACAAAAGATGATTTCAGTGTCCAGAGTAGCTTTCTTCCCCCCTGGTAGCAGTGAGGCTCCAGCCCTTATCCTTTCTGCCTGGACAGTTATTGTAGTCTCCTGGCTTGTGTCTCTGCCCCCAGGTGTACATCTTCCACCAATGGCAATGTACATTTTACATTGCCATTACAAGTGATCCTTCTGACATGAAAATCCAGTGAAAATCCTTTAAAGGCAAGCTCTTTAACTTAGCATATATGGTAACTAATGATCTGTCCCCTGCCTCCCTCCCTTGTTTCTTGCTCTCTTTCCCTCCTAGCTGCAATTCCCCTTTGAATCAGACTGTTGTCATACTTTATGCCTTTGTCTGTGTCCTCTGCCTCAAATGCTGTTCCCAGATCATTCACCTGGGAAACACCTACTCATTCTGTAAGACTCATCCCAGATTTTACTTTTATTACTCCTTTCCAATTCCCACTGCCCTTCCCTAGTGCTCCCGCTGCACTTTTGATATACTACTAACATCACACCCATAATACTTTATTTTACAGTTTTTCCCCCTCAACATTTTGAGGGCACACATGTGTCTTACTGCTCTCTGTGTTTCCAGCACAATGCCTGGCATGGAGGGACACCCAAATAATAAGCAAATAAAAGAGACATACCTCAAGCAAAGGCACTGAACCACGAAAGTAGGAACAGTGCCAGGGAGGTGTACAATTGTTAGTAGCATTTGACCCCTGTAAGCTAGTAATATGACCTAACACTGACACTTTCATATCTCCTCTTACCCTGACGACTCCCTTGTTACCTCGAGAGGGAACCTAGAAGTAAGCAAAATTCAGATTAGATGACTTAATCAAGGTCACATGGCAAATCAGTGGCAGAACTGTAATTAGATTCAGACTTCTGAATCTAAAACCCATATATGGTTTCCAGATGATACCAGGTCGATTAAAGTTAGAGAAGAGTTTAGGTGGACTCTGACATTTAGAAGCTGCTATCATAGAAACTCTTATTTTTCTCAGCACATTCGAGTGGCAGAATTTTAACAGTTGTTAGAGGTTAAATGAAATATTTTCAGTCCTCTTAATACTTGAATTTGATGACCAAAGTTGTGTAGTTTAGTTGCTTTCTAGGCTCTAAACGTCGTGTTGTCTTTATTTAGATCACACTTCTGTAACTGCTTCTTTACTTATTTTACAGGCGTCATTGAAAATTTGCATGCTGCAGCTTACCGAAATGCCTTGGCTAATTCCTTATATTGTCCTGATTATAGGATTGGAAAAGTGACACCAGATGAGGTACTGATAAAACACATTACATTTTTTTTTTAAATTTTTTTTTTTTTTTATACAGCAGGTTCTTATTAGTCATCAGTTTTATACACATGAGTGTATACATGTCAATCACAATCGCCCAATTCAGCTCACCACCACCACCACCCCCACCGTGGCTTTCCCCCCTTGGTGTCCATACGTTTGTTCTCTACATCTGTGTCTCAATTTCTGCCCTGCAAACTGGTTCATCTGTACCATTTTTCTAGGTTCCACATATATGCATTAATATGTGATATTTGTTCTTCTCTTTCTGACTTACTGCACTCTGTATGACAGTCTCTAGATCCATCCGCGTCTCAACAAATGACCCAATTTCGTTCCTTTTTATGGCTGAGTGATATTCCATTGTATATATGTACCACAACTTCTTTATCCATTCTTCTGTCGATGGGCATTTAGGTTGCTTCCATGACCTGGCTATTGTAAATAGTGCTGCGGTGAACATTGGGGTGCATGTTTCTTTTAGAATTGTGGTTTTATCTGGGTATATGCCCAGTAGTGGGATTGCTGGATCATATGGTAATTCTGTTTTTAGTTTTTTAAGGAACCTTCATACTGTTCTGCATAGTGGCTGTATCAGTTTACATTCCCACCAACAGTGCAAGAGGGTTCCCTTTTCTCCACACCCTCTCCAGCATTTGTTGTTTGTAGATTTTCTGATGATGACCATTCTAACTGGTGTGAGGTGATAACCTCGTTGTAGTTTTGATTTGCATTTCTCTAATAATTAGTGATGTTGAGCATCTTTTCATGTGCTTCTTGGCCACCTACATGTCTTCTTTGGAGAAATGTCTGTTTAGGTCTTCTGCCCATTTTTGGATTGGGTTGTTGTTTGTTTTTTAATATTGAGCTGCATGAGCTGTTTGTATATTTTGGAGATTAATCCTTTGTCTGTTGATTCGTTTGCAAATATTTTCTCCCATTCTGACGGTTGTCTTTTCGTCTTGTTTATGGTTTCCTTTGCTGTGCAAGAGCTTTTAAGTTTCATTCGGTCCCATTTGTTTATTTTTGTTTTTATTTCCATTACTCTAGGAGGTGGATCAAAAAAAATCTTGCTGTGATTTATGTCAAAGAGTGTTCTGCCTATGTTTTTCTCGAAGAGTTTTATAGTGTCTGGTCTTACATTTAGGTCTCTAATACATTTTGAGTTTCTTTTTGTGTATGGTGTTAGGGAGTGTTCTAATTTCATTCTTTTACATGTAGCTGTCCAGTTTTCCCAGGACCACTTATTGAAGAGACTGTCTTTTCTCCATTGTATATCCTTGCCTCCTTTGTCAAAGATTAGTTGACCATAGGTGCGTGGGTTTATCTCTGGGCTTTCTATCCTGTTCCATTGATATATATTTCTGTTTTTTGTCAGGACCACATTGTCTTGATTGCTGTAGCTTTGTAGTATAGTCTGAAGTCAGGGAGTCTGATTCCTCCAGCTCTGTTTTTTTCCCTCAAGATTGCCTTTTGCTATTCAGGGTCTTTTGTGTCTCCATACAAATTTTAAGATTTTTTGTTCTAGTTCTGTAAAAAGTGCCATTGGTAGTTTGGTAGGGATTGCATTAAATCTGTAGATTGCTTTGGGTAGTATAGTCATTTTCACAATATTGATTCTTCCAATCCAAGAACATGGTATATCTCTCCATCTGTTTGTGTCATCTTTGATTTCTTTCATCAGTGTCTTATAGTTTTCTGAGTACAGGTCTTTTACGTCCTTAGGTAGGTTTATTCCTAGGTATTTTATTCTTTTTGTTGCAATGGTAAATGGCAGTGTTTCCTTAATTTCTCTTTCAGATTTTTCATCATTAGTGTATAGGACTGCAAGAGATTTCTGTGCATTAATTTTGTATCCTGCAACTTTACTAAATTCATTCATTAGCTCTAGCAGTTTTTTGGTGACATCTTTAGGATTCTCTATGTATAGTATCATGTCATCTACAAAAAGTCACAGTTGTACTTCTTCTTTACCAATTTGTATTCCTTTTATTTCTTTTTCTTCTCTGATTGCCATGGCTAGGACTTCCAAAACTGTTGAATAATAGTGGCGAGAGTGGACATCCTTATCTTGTTCCTAATCTTAGTGGAAATCTTTTCAGTTTTTCACCTTTGAGAATGATGTTTGCTGTGTGCTTGTCATATATGGCCTTCATTATGTTGAGTTAGGTTCCCTCTATGCCCATTTTCTGGAGAGTTTTTATCATAACTGGGTGTTGAATTTTGTCAAAAGCTTTTTCTGCATCTATGAAATGATCATATGGTTTTTATTATGCAATTTGTTAATATGGTGTATCACACTGATTGATTCGCATATATTGAAGAATCCTTATATCCCTGGGATAAATCCCACTTGATCATGGTATATGATCCTTTTAATGTGTTGTTGGATTCTGTTTGCTAGTATTTTGTTGAGGATTTTTGCATCTATTTTCATCAGTGATATTGGTCTGTAATTTTCTTCTTTTGTAGTATGTCTGTCTGGTTTTGGTCTCAGGGTGATGGTGGCCTTGTAGAATGAGTTTGGGAGTGTTCCTTCCTCTGCAGTTTTTTAGAAGAGTTTGAGAAGGATGGCTGTTAGCTCTTCTCTAAATGATATAATTCACCTGTGAAGCCATCTGGTCCTGGACTTTCGTTTATTGGAAGATTTTTAATTACAGTCTCAATTTTATTTCTTGTGATTGGTCTGTTCACATTTTCTATTTCTTCCATGTTCAGTCTTGGAAGGTTATACCTTCTAAGAATTTGTCCATTTCTTCCAGGTTGTCCATTTTATTGGCATATAGTTGCTTGTAGTAGTGTCTTAGGATGCTATGTATTTCTGCAGTGTCTGTTGTAACTTCTCCTTTTTCATTTCTTATTTTGTTGATTTGAGTCCTCTCCCTCTTTCTTGATGAGTGTGGCTAAAGGTTTATCAATTTTGTTTATCTTCTCAAAGAACCAGCTTTTAGTTTTATTGATCTTTGCTGTTGTTTTCTTTGTTTCTATTTCATTTATTTCTGCTCTGATCTTTATGATTTCCTCCCTTCTAGTAACTTTGGGTTTTGTTTGTTCTTCTTTCTCTACTTGCTTTAGGTGTAAGGTTAGATTGTTTATTTGAGTTTTTCTTTTTTCTTGAGGCATTGCTATAAACGTCCCTCTTAGAACTGCTTTTGCTGCATCCCATAGGTTTTGGACTGCCGTGTCTTCATTGTCATTTGTCTCTAGGTATTTTTTGGTTTCCTCTTTGATTTCTTCATTGATCTCTTGGTTATTTAGTAACATATTGGTTAGCCTCCATGTGTTTGTGTTTTTTACTTTTTCTTCCCTGTAATTGATTTCTAGTCTCATAGAGTTGTGGTCAGAAAAGACTCTTGATATGATTTCAGTTTTCTTAAATTTACTGAGACTTGATTTGTGACCCAAGATGTGATCTATCCTGGAGAATGTTCTGTGTGCACTTGAGAAGAAATTCTATTCTGTTGCTTTTGGATGGAATGTCCTATAAATATTGATTAAGTCCATTTGGTCTCTTGTGTCATTTAAAGCTTGTGTTTCATTATTAATTTTCTGTCTGGATGATCTGTCCTTTGGAGTAAGTGAGGTGTTAAAGTCCCCCACTATTATTGTGTTACTGTCGATTTCCTCTTTTATAGCCATTTTATAGCATTTGCCTTATGTATTAAGGTGCTCCTATGTTGGGTGAATATATATTTATAATTTTTATATCTTCTTCTTGGATTGATCCCTTGATCATTATGTAGTGTCCTTCCTTGTCTCTTGTACCATTCCTCTTTTTTTTTAATAAATTTATTTGTTTATTTTATTTATTTATTTTTGGCTGCATTGGGTCTGTGTTGCTGCGCATAGGCTTTCTCTAGTTGCAGCGTGCAGGGGCTACTCTTTGTTATGGTGCGCGGCTTCTCATTGCAGTGGTTTCTCTTGTTGCAGAGCATGGGCTCTAGGCACGCAGTCTTCAGTGGTTGTGGCACGTGGGCTCAGTAGTTGTGGCTCACGGGCTTAGTTGCTCCACAGCATGTGGGATCTTTCCAGACCAGGGATTGAACTCATGTCCCCTGCGTTGGCAGGTGGATTCTTAACCACTGTGCCACCAGATTCTTAACCACTGTGCCACCAGGGAAGTCCCCTATTTGTAATTTTATTGATTTGAGTCAATAAATTTTTTCATTTATTTATTGAAAATAAATTTTTTCAAAAAATTTCATCATTTTTTCATGATGAGTCTGGCTAATGGTTTATCAATTTTGTTCATCTTCCCAAAGAACCAGCTTTTAGTTTTATTGATCTTTGCTATTGTGTCCTTCATTTCTTTTTTATTTATTTCTGATCTGATCTTTATGATTTTTTTCCTTCTGCTAACCTTGGGTTTTTTTTGTTGTTGTTGTTCTTCTCTCTCTAATTGCTTTAGGTGTAAGGTTAGGTTGTTTATTTGAGATTTTTCTTGTTTCTTGAGGTAGGATTGTATTGCTATAAACTTCCCTCTTAGAACTGCTTTTGCTGCATCCCATAGGTTTTGGGTCATCGTGCTTTCATTGTCATTTGTTTCTAGGTGTATTTTGATTTCATTTTTGATTTCTTCAGTGATCCCTTGGTTCCCTAGTAGCATATTGTCTAGCCTCCATGTGTTTGTATTTTTTACAGTTTTTTTTCCTTTAATTGATATCTAGTCTCATAGCGTTGTGGTCAGAAAAGATGCCTGATATGATTTCAATTTTCTTAAATTTACTGAGGCTTGATTTGTGACCCAAGATGTGATCTATCCTGGAGAATGTTCTGTGTGCACTTGAGAAGAATTTCTATTCTGTTGTTTTTGGATGGAATGTCCTATAAATATTGATTAAGTCCATCTGGTCTAATGTGTTATTTAAAGCTTGTGTTTCCTGGGGCTTCCCTGGTGGCACAGTGGTTAAGAATCTGCCTGCCAATGCAGGGGACACAGGTTCGAGCCTTAGTCCGGGAAGATCCCACATGCCACGGAGCAACTAAGCCCGTGCGCCACAACTACTGAGCCTGCA